AGTGGATGATACGATTTTTTTTTTAAGAGTGCCAAAATCTGGAAAGAGTTCGTTTGGAAAATTGCTTAGCAGATTGAAAATGGTGAATAAATTATTGCACAAGGGAACTTTTGAAACTCCTCTGGTAGTAAATGTTCAGCTAAAGAAATATGAAATATACAGCATCATGCTTATGAAAACTAAGAAAATTCTTGCCCATAAATCATATGAGGGAATTAGGATTTCTCTCCTTTCATTCTAAACTCTCATTATTTTCATTCTAAATTTGTATGTAAAATTATCTTCCCCTATTTCCTTACAACAGTAAAGATGTAATTTCATGCAACTTTATCAGTAATTAAGCTATTTATTTCAACCTTTTTGTTTATGTTTCCTGGCTGGGTCCCACTGGTGCAGCTTTGTCCAGGACAGTTGACTATGATGATGAGCAATTGTAAAACCTGGCTTTGATATGGATGCAAGGAAAAGGTTTTGGTATGACCATTAAATGATAAAGGATATGGGAACAAGGTGCTTCACCATTGTGAACTCAGCTGGCTTGGAGGGCTGTCTTTGACTGTGTGGTTGTCATTTCATAGGAAGAACAGCCCTCAGTGGACACAGCTCTTACTGCTCACTGTTTGCTCTTATAAAAGTTGCCATTAACTTGAGATATGTGTTGTACATTTCTAGGAATATTCCTCAACTGATTTATTGGCATGGTTTTTCTTATCCTCAGGTTCTTGCTCTGGCTTTCTTTCTCTTTTTCCTTTTAACTTTTTTCTCTTTTCCCCTTCTCTTGCTTGCTCTGCTTTCAGTTGTTTCTTGCAAAAATATTTGTAGGAGTAGAGATGTACTAGAGCTGATTATCAGAAGATCTATGATTCTGCACCACTGAAGGCTAAATGCAAAATCCAGTGGTTATCCTGATTCACTGAACCGTATGCCCCAGCTCTAGTGCCTTTTACAGGCTCTAGTGGAAGGAAATTTGCTTCCAAGCAATAGACAGCATTGCTTGGCAACCTTTTCAGCCCTGTATAGCACAGGATGGGCCAGCTGTGTTCCCAACACTGAACTTCTCTCTGATGGTAGGCTCCTTTGTGGCTCTTTTTCTGGGAATCACAAGGTAAATGTGCTCTTTGTTTAAGTGTGAGTCTTCACTACAGTTGCTCTGTATATAGGGCAGAAGGAGAACATTTAGCTTTGAATAGCAGCTAGGGATGGGTAAGTCTTAAAAGGTATGGAGATTGAATTGAATTTTAGTTAATCTTCAGCTCCATTGACTCTATCCTAAAAGGCTTTTTAATTATAGGGTCAATATTTTCCTGATTCAGATTTCTTCAGATTCTTTTTGATACCGATTTTCTTCAAAGTTTTGGGAGAAGAGGTGAGTATTGCAAAAACGACTTTCCTGGCAGCAGCTTCCCCTTCTAACCAAGGAGCAAGCCTGCTTGAATATCATCTTGACACTAATTCTCAAGACATTTGGAAATAATTGTACAGGTTTGGAGCTAATATCAAGGCTAGGTTGGATGGGGCCCTGAGCAACCTGGTTTAATGAAATGTGTCCCTGCCCACAGCAGAGGGACTGTAATTAGATGATCTTTAAGATCTATTCCAGAATGATGATTCTGTGATCAGCAATTCAAGGTCTACTCAGGCAAACAGCTGGTTTGAAAAGAGTTGTTCTTTGTTTTGAAATCTTTTGAAATAAGAGCACTGCCCTGTAGTAACCTGTAGCCACTTCAATGCAAGTTGAAGTCTTCAGCTTGCTTGAAATAAATGAGATATTGCAATCTCCTGTATCTGAGCACTCACAGTGCCATGGTTTTTAAGCCATTCTGAGGTCTTTATCAGTAGGATGAGATTTGTGTTTTTGCTTGTAAGAGTTTTTCCCAAAGAAACATCCTGCTGATATGGTCAAGTTTCCCATCAGACATTTTAGCTTTGATAAATCAAAATCTTTGAAATAATAAAAGTGGGAAATACGTTTTCTTTAATTTTCTCTCTCTAGTCCAGAACCTGTAAGGCAGCTGTGGATTTGTTTTACATCAGAAACATGGCTTATCAGTATTGTGAACATCCTGTGTTGTGTGTGATTCATAGAATGCAGAAGTGAAAAGGTGGAAACTGCATCAACAGAGGCAATTTAATGGAGAATAGAATCTAGGTATGTTTTTTCTTATTTAGAGACAAGGTTTGGAAGTCTAGAGAATATCTAAAATATTCCAAGAAAATTGGTACAGTGATCCTCTCTAGGGAAAGGAGGTAGTCTTTATTCTAATGGCATTACAGCTTTTATTCTAGCATAGAGACTGTAGTTCACAGCAGAGTCTGATAATGGGATCCTGTTGCAAATTGGGAACTGTCTCTTAAATTGGATGGATAGAAAAGACACAATTAAAGCTCTCACTCAGTGGTTTTGCATATGGTTCCCACCTGTCTGCCTGTGTTTTCAGGTGATTTGAGGGCCAAGTGTGAATCTGAGCAGAGGTGTCAGTGAGAAATGAACCATAGTGTATTGCTCATCCCTGAAATCTTGAAACTGGCCTTTTATTTCTGTCTGAATCTGTCACTGGCAGCAGTGGGTAATGAGCAGCACTTGGAAGGGCTGTGCAGGCACACGACAGCCCTCTGAAAGCTCACTGCTGCCAGGAGACAAAAGGCAGTGCAGCCTGAGCACTTGCTTCCTTCAAGAACAGGGACTTGGGAGCTTAGAAGTCACAGCATCCCTTGTGCTGCTCCAGGCACTGGGTTATGATTTGTAGGCTTTTTAATGAACAGTGCTTCCTGACTATTAGTGCTTCCTGACTAGTTCTGGCTTGTTTAGGGGTTTTATTCTTTTGAGTGGTTTTTTTTTGTTTTGTTGGGTTTTTTTTGTTTTTTTTTTGTTGTTGGTGTTACTATCCAAGGGCGTTAGCACTCTTCAGCATAACAAAGCAGGGCTTCCAGTGCTCAGATAATGGTCAGGTTTGGAAACTTGATTCTTCACACCACACCCTCCCACTCCCCCCAGGTTTTGAATTTCCATTTTGTTTTATCAGAAATTAAGCTGGGATTTAAATTAGACGTGAATAGAAGGTGTTTAGTAAGAGCTGGAACAAGGATAATCTGGTAAGTTTAGCAATATGCCTTCAGTCATTTAAATGGTATTTAAAAAAAAAGTCCAAATTTGCTATATTTGGCTAAAAACGTCTTTTTCTTAAAGGTTGGAGTCAGGGATGATTTTTCCAAAAGCTTGGAGGTTGAAGCATTCATCTGTGAAGCCGAAAATATAGATTAAATACCTGCTCTGAGATGCTTTAAATCCATGTATCCCTACCTTGAATCAGATGCTAAGAGGATTGAATTCAATTTACACCCAGGTCAGGAAAGAAGCTTAACCCAACTGACTGCAATATATCTGACAACTGACTTACAAACCCCATTTTGGCATATATTATCACCACACAGAGCTGCAGGATCTCTTGTGTCCATAACTGCAGGTTTTCCAGGAACACAGCACCTGTATTCTGGGCTCTTTGCTCTAGTCCTTGCTGCCATCTGCTCCATCAACAGACACATCCTACAAGTTGACTGGCTTCCCTTTTTCCAGTTTTTTCATCTGAGATGAGTGCATGAGGTAGCTGTGGCTTAATACAGTATGATGATGTCTGCCCAGATTTGGTGTTATATTACTGGCATGATCCTCTTACCTGCCTGTGTGTCTGGGTTAATGGGAGCATTTGACACCATGGTTTCTGAGGTGGGCAAGATGTGCAACAATGATACTGTCCTGCTTTACTTATTTATAAATACATTTATTTATTTAGTCTCAGGTTAGAGCTTGTTTTCAGCTCTGTACAGCCATACTGATGTGAAGGATCTATTGGAGAAATAAGTGAAGAAGATCGTTAAATTTTTATCTGGCTGTGTTTCTTTGAGAAAATATCAGAAAAGAATGGATCTTTGCATTGGTTTTCAAAATACCTTTTCCTTTGAGGTGATTACAATAGTCCTTGTGCTTGTGATCTCTTCTGGAATAGCAGAATTCCTAGTTCTGCCTTTCCTTTCTTCCACCTGCTGGGGTGACCTTCTTTAAATATGGTAACCTCTCCAAAAGCAGCCTTAATATGGACAGCTGGGGGGAACCAGCCATGAAAGAGGAGCTCTCAGCTCTCCTCGGAGGGACTATAGGTACCATCACTCTCAGCCTTGGCCCTAAAGGATTAATTTCAGGTCTGAGGTTTTTCTTGGCATGATGTAGATATCAATAATATTAGCTGGAAAGAGACTAGAGTAATACTTGAGGCATCTGGGTTTTTCTCCTGACTCAAACATTTGCTTGCAGTGTGGCTTTGGACAAATTCACTGTGCCTCTGTTCATCCTCTTGAAAACAAAAATAATTCTGCTTTTCTGACTAGGACATGCTATATAAAAGTTTGCATTATTATATATTTATTGGTTATTCTGTCTTTATCAAGGATGGCAGGGGGGTTGTGCTTTTCCATACCATTTGTGCTGTGCTAAATTTACAAATTTGTGCTGTTTCTATTTCTGTGTCATATTCTGCTCTCCTGTTCCTCTGAATAGTGAGAGAGATCACTGGGATGTGGTAAGCTGTGTAAAGGAAGAAATATATCCAGGAGGAAAGGGCAGAATTTTGCATGCTAGATGTTTTGGTATCCAGGGGAAGATGTCAAACACCTCTGGGTGTTTGGGTTCAGCTTGCAAGTCAATCTGAGTAGGGAACTTAAATGGGAGGTGGGGAACCAATGGGAAACACAAGGGTCACAAGTCCCCTGGTGTCCCCAAAGGATTCCTCCCTCAAATGGCTTCTCACCTCTTGATTATAAACCTATTTTCTTTGTCTAGAGGGTTTTGTTTATTCCTTTTTTTTACGGGTAGTTTCTACTGATGGTATTTTGGGATCACTGAATCTGCACTCACCATCTTTAGTGGCTTCTTCTCATGTTATTTGTTTCATGTTCAGGGATTAGCAACCAGATTGCAAAATAATGAGCTGCCTTGTGTATTTCAGAAACATACCCCTCGCAATATGCATTTCAATGATTATCGTCACAGTTGGCTATGTGTTAACAAACGTGGCTTATTTCACTACAATCAGTGCTGGGGAATTGCTGCTTTCAAAAGCTGTAGCAGTGGTAAGTTACAGAAGAAAAATACAAAGATCTTCCTGCTGCAGTTATGTTTGTTGATATTATTCTTATTTTCAGGGGGGAAAAAGATTGGGTGGACACATCCAGTCAGGTTGTAGTTTGGCAGCACTTATTAGCATCCCTGTGAAATTTGATTTTTGACTGATGAGTGGGATTACACTTCAGGCCATCAGTAGCATTTAATAATGTAACATTGGACTGTATTTATTTACCTCTTATAACAAAGTCAATAGGACTTTAATTTCATAGCCAAGTACCTCCTTGAAAAATTCAGAGCTAAATTGTAAGCTCAACTCCTGGGAAGCAGGAATTACAGATCTTTATGGAAGAGAGGGCTCTGAACTATCTTGTGTAGCAGAATACAGTAACTTTGTCTCTGCACAATGTTTGTCCTGAGTACTTGGGAAGAGGATTGCTGTGAATACTGGAGCTCATTTGGGAAGGAGTTGCAAGGCAACCTGGCTAGGAAATACTGCTTTGTTTTTGCTGAATTGTGGTGATGACATCGATTTTTATATTTATGGTATCTGAGTCAAAATAAGGAAATAAAAACTTCCCTTTCTTTTCCAGTAGTAATACTGCCTGTGGCTATTTCAGTCGATGTGAGTGTTGAAAAATGACCAAATTCTGTAGCTAATGGGAGGCCTAGAAAGAAAACATTTTATAAACATGACGAAAATTATGCATGTTTCTTGTGGTGCCCCAAACTCCAATTAGGGCTCTTCTGCTAACCTGAAACACTAAAGCCTGAATGGATGGACTGTACCACTGGATAGTACCAGCTGAGTGCAATGAAGGCTATAAAAAAAAGATATTAGATGTGCTGATCAGACCTTGATCCCTTCAGACTTGGTCTTCTTCTCTGGAGTCATAATGGTCTAAATTGACATGAGTCAGGGCCTGATTCCACCTCCTCATCATTGCTTCAGCTGGGGATCTTCCACAGGGGTAAGGGTAGGACAGCTGGGCTGTAGTAGCTGAGCTCTCACAAAAGAGACAATAAATGCACAGCCCAATTTTCAGTGAGGGATGCAGAGAAGGGGTGATACTAACACCATGATAATTGGTTAATAGAGGACAGTTGTTATTTTCCCATTTTTGTGAAAAACCACTGTGTGCTTCTTTCTCTTTTCTAACAGACCTTTGCTGAACGACTGATGGGAGACTTTTCTTTAGCTGTGCCCGTGTTTGTTGCTCTCTCCTGCTTTGGATCTATGAATGGTGGCATTTTTGCCGTGTCCAGGTGAGCACTGCTGATGTTCCTGGGGGTGAGGGCTTGGGAGACATACTGAAATTGTGGAAGCAAGGGGGAGGGAGAGTAGGGTTCATTCCTTTAGCAGGATATGATAAATGACTACACTGTTTACCAGGTGTAGGACTTTTTCTCACTTTGTTTAGGGTAGTATTTTTAAAATCCTTGGAATAGCTTGGAAATGAATCTCTCTGAGGCTAGCCCTTAATCAGTGGCTGGTTTTTTTTAATGTAAAGGAGGAAAATTGGAGGGAAAGCATTAACTCTTCCCAAACAAGGGACACCTTGAGAGATGGTTTTGATTTGTGTGTGTGGGTTTCTCCTGCCAGTGCTTTCATTTAGAACACCTCAAACAAGACTTAGAAGTGCTGCTCTGCTCTGTGACTTTCATGAGCCACTTTGGGTACTCACAGTAATGAGCACATTTAAAGTCTGTCCACATTTATTTCCCACCAGGATGTTCTTCGTTGCATCCCGTGAGGGTCACCTTCCAGAAATTCTCTCCATGATTCATGTCCGCAAGCACACTCCTCTGCCAGCTGTCATTGTTTTGGTAAATCATACAAACAAATGTTCCTGCACTAGAATTCACATTACAGCCTTGCTCTGGAGGATTCAAACAGAATTTGGGCACTGCTTGAGTCTCATTTATTAATGTGAACGTGGGCTTTGGGCAGGGTGGAGGACAGGAGGAAGAGGAATGAGATGTGGGAGTCGTTCTTATTCTATCATCTCCTCCTTGCTTTCTTGCCTATCCCTGCAATCTAATTCATATCTTACTGCTCTGAGTTTCTAAGAACCAGCTAGTGATGAGCTAGTTCCCTTTCAGAGAAACAAATTCCAGTTAAACACAAACAAAAAAAGGGATTCAGTTAACTGAAAGTTGAACTAAACACCAACATCTGGGAATACCCTAAAGGCTCATTACTTCACTACCTTATAGTGAAAAATACAAACAGTTTTGCAACTAAGATAATGGAGGGGAAACCCTCAGCTGTCCAGCATAGTGGTGATTAAAAAATGATAGAATATGTGCCTGGGAAGTAGCCTGTGAATTTTCTAAGGAAAACCACTGATGCTTTAGTGGAAATCCTATTACTGACTTCTAAAATAAACAGCAAAGGTAAATGTTGGCCATGTGTTAGCTTTGCAGACTAATTTGTATGGTAAAATGTTAGGACTAAATGTCAAAACACCAACTTCAAACTTCAGTTTTCATAGTGCCTTGAAGATTATCACTTAACTTGCAGTCTTCATAATCATGGGTGTTCAGCCCCTCTTTTGGGATCAATGGCTGCAGTGTATCTGGATAGGCTTCTGCCATATTTAGGGACTTAGAGCCAAAGCAGAAGATGCACCTATGAGTCAATGCTAGTAAAAGCAAATGCCTGTGGAATTTAAATTGGCTTTTGCTATCGATGCCCATAAGCTCACTGCTGAATTGTTGAATTTTATACGTGCACATATAGCCCATAGGCTTTGAAATTTTGGAAATTCGGCAGTGTGATTATGGTGAAATGTTTTGATGAAATTAATTTTCCATAAACATTTAGTTTGCATTTTATTTCTTTAGGTGTAGTCATACCTTGTTGATAAATTTCATTGACTGTTTTTTGTGGAATGAAATGCACAAAATGTATTAATATATTATTTTTTCCTGACATTTTCTGCTATTGCATATGGTCCTGTTAAACCAGTGCATTGATTTCCTTTGAAAAAGTCAGATTCTCATTTGAGATGCCTTTTCTTCAGAAATTACAATTTTTTAGCTCACCTTATTGTAAATAGAGCAGTGGCAGGACACATTCTACATCAATAGCAATTTTAGCATTCCTCTATTTTATTTCTCCTTCCAAGTTCTGCACACTGTAAGAAAAGAGCGAGGTTTTGAGGATAAACTGAGACAATGAGCATGTGCCTGAGATTTGTTACGTTAAAAATCAAACCAACACCTTTTTTTGAAATTAAGAAATCTGTTTATGTATGTATGTTGCTAGAGAAACTTCCCAGTTTGACCATGAGACTTCCTTCTGGTGACTCAGTGATGGGTCACTGCTGAACTCCTGAACTTCCCACTCAGGTCTCCCCACTGCTCCAACCCTTAGTTTCCCATGGCAGAGTATCAGATGTCTCATTCCATAAAGCCAGGCACAGGAACACAGAAACAGTGGAGCTGGTGGCTTTTTATACCCCAAATTGTCCCCACAAGTCTTGCTCTTACTTCCAAGTCTTTTGTCTCCTGCTCTATCTCCATGTCTGCTGGCTTCACCTGTCTTCATCTGCTTTGGTATCCAAAGGGTCAGCAATTCCCAGCTCCTTCTGTGCCACCCAGTATCTGTCCATCTGGCTGGAGTCACCAATCTTTCATACTCTTTGTTATCCCAAAGGTTGGCTATTCATGGCCTCTTGTCTCAGGCTTCCACACAGAGCTCAGTCTGCTTTTCAATCTGCAATCTCAGTCTGCATCTCAATTTGCAAGTTGAGCTACCTGGACCAGAAATATTCCTCACCAATGTGAGGAATTTGATAGATGTATGTAGTAACTCATGTTACTTGTATTTTTTTTGTATACTCATGCTTTCTTGTATTTTTTCTTGATAGCTCTCCTTCACTTGCATTATTGTATGTAGCTTGCATTGTAGTTATAACTGAGATTTTAAAGTTTTAGAGACTGAGTCTGTAGAGAAGAAATCTTGCCCAATATAATTCAGTGGTAGAATTTCCCTTGACATTTACATAAGAGTTTGCTTAATATCTGTATGAAAGGAACCAGTACTTTATAAGTCATTAGAGGTTGGAGGCCAGAGACCCACATTTGAAATATTGATCCTTCTGATTCAAATCCATGTAGTCTGCACTGCTTTGAAATAAAGGAGGGAGAGCAGTGAATCTAGAAAAATAATACAAGTTAGTTTTTCTCTATGTAAAGATTTAGCCCAGTGTTTTGCTGCATCTGCAGTTGATTTCACCTGTTGCCTTGTTATGAACGTAAAGGCTCTCACTGCTAGGATCTTCCCTCTTGCTAAAGAATGAAGGATATGGTGAATTTGACTTACTCCCTCATGCCCAAATTCAAGGACGTTTTTTGTCCAGATATTACTTTGAAATAGATCCATGTAGCCTTCAGTAACCATCTAACTCATGACAAAACACTCTAGTTTATACATAACCTGCCTGCCTCACAGAAGCCTTGTATCTCAGACTAGCTTTTCTATGAGAAGCTGTATTTATCCTGGTGTCCCCTCTCCTTCTTGCTCTTCAGTAGCTGCCTGAGTGACAAATTTTTCCTTCTGCTTATAAATATTTGCATTTGCAATGTGCAGTAAGTCCACGCTCTGCAAGTGTGAAAGGCAAACCCAAGCTGGTGGCAACCCAGTGTGCCCAGCTGGCATCTCATGGCGTGGAACTGCCCCTTGCCATGTCCTCTTTGCTCACTTCCCCTTTGAAACCTGGGGGTCTAAGACTTTTTCCTTCCACAAAACACCTAGAAACCTCTGCTTTCCTAGGATCAGATGTGACCAAAATTTAACTGTTCATATCATTTGCATGAGGAATGGGGAAGTAAAACTGCAGTGAGCCCATATCCATATGAGAATGCTGCCCAGGATGCTCCAGCACTTTGGTGGTGCAGTGTGCCTGTGTATTTTTGTCTAGGTCACAGGGGACAGATTTGTATTGACTATGTGTGGCCACCCAGGGCAGATATATATTGATCCAAAATGGTCTCAAGGGACAGCTAGGCATTGATCACACACCTGATTACATGACAAAGGCAAGCCTGAAGACTTGTGGCACTCAGGTGTGTGCATAAGGCTGTGCTGCTTGTCCCTGTGGGGAAATTTGACATCCCTGCTGTAAAATAATAGAGATCGATCTACTAAACCCCTCTTATGCTCTGAATTTCTTTTGCAGCATCCTCTCACAATGATAATGTTATTCACCGGGGATCTCTACAGCCTCTTGAATTTCCTCAGCTTTGCCAGGTGGCTTTTTATTGGACTGGTAGTTGCTGGGTTGATTTATCTCAGATATAAACGTCCTGATATGCCTCGTCCTTTCAAGGTAACATCTGCTCTCTACTCTTTTACATGAATCCTCCCTCCTGTCCATCCTGTAGTCAGACAGCAAGGGAGCATTTTCTGATGTAACAAGCTCTTTTCCGGGAAAAACAGAGTTTAGTGAAGACTGAGAGTTTTCCTGCAAGGTCCCCGGTGCTATCCCAGCTGTTTTCCATTCTGGAAAAGAATTCTTGCCTCTTCCCTGTGCTTTGGGGGCGGAGAATGAAGCTGCAGTGTTGAGATGAAGGTGTTTGCTCTGTTTTGCTTGTCTGTTGTGTTCAGGCCCTGTGATGCAAGCTGTGTAAAAATACCTCGAGCCCTCTGCAGTCACAGAGGGTTCAGACTGGAAATATTGGGGTTACATGTGCCAACTTGATTTTCAGCCAGTGCTCTATTTAATATCTCCTTTGATAAAGGCATGGATAACTTTACCACCAAAGAGTCACGTCAAGCATAAGAATTTTTGAGAGAGAGCATTTATGTCACTGCACATCCAATACCAAGGATGCCAATTTTCTGTGCAAATAAGGGGTTAGTGTGACTATTGTAGTATTTGGCACTTGCATGGATTTGTAGACAGAGTTATTGTGAACCCAGAAAGAAAATGTGAGTAGTCCCTTGAATAGTAGCTATTTTGGCCTTGGTTCTGCTTGCTATTTTTCTTGCTTGTTTTAAGTAGCACCATACAAAGTAAATTGTCCCATTGTGTATCCAGAAAGATAATATCCATCATCAAAAAATTGAGATATATATCCCTATTTCGATGCTGCCAAGAAGCTATTTGTGAAGACCTAAGAGTGTGTATTGTTGCATTCTTGTAGGTATATCAGTAAATAAGGAGGTGAACAGTACAACCTATTTTGCTTTGATTAAAAAAAAATGTTTTGACAATGCACAAAAGAGGAACAGTAATGTTTTGAGGCGTGAAAGGAAGAGAACAATCTCCAAGGAATTCTCAATTCTCCATTACACTTAATGTCTCATAAGCCATGCCTGTAGGCATTTCCTTCAGAGAGTTGCTAGGAGAGTGATTGTATTGGTGTTCTTGAAAATTGAGCAAATAAATTTGACATGGTTACTTTGTGTGCTTTCAACAGTGACACTGGCAGTGCTATCAGTCATACAGTCAGAAAGTGCTTTTTCAATGAGTAACAGGTGCATAACACTATCAAATATCTTTATCACTAGTCAAATTACTGTTTAATTTGCTGTCTTCCTGCTAGATTTTGATTTTTACCTTAGGAAGAAAATCAATATGCTCTTAATAGTTTTAAAAGGTGACTGGAGCTCCTGGCTGTGTTTTAAAATGTTTTCTAATGGGTAATTATCAAAACGGAAATCTTTACTGTGGTTAGAGCTGCTTACTTATATGCTGGGGGATTAGAGGAAGGACTTTTACAATTTAACTTATTTACAGTCCTTACGTTTTAAAGGAAGTAAAACACTGGAGTGTTTTAGTGTGTAATTAAGAGACTTCTGTGGTACTCACTGCATAGCAGTAGTCTATGGCAGACTGCAGTGGCTTCTGCAGTCACTGACATTTTTTGTTCCTGTTCTAGATACCCTCATTTCTCCAGAACTGTCTTTTATTGCTGGGCCTTATCCAATTTATATTTCATGGAAAGTTAAATGCCTTAGTCATTACGTTACATTGACCTTATTATTTAATGGCTCTTTGTGTGGTTATTTTTCAGGTTCCTCTATTTATTCCAGCGTTGTTTTCCTTCACTTGCCTCTTCATGGTTGCACTGTCACTTTACTCTGACCCAGTGAACACAGGGATTGGATTTGCAATAACCCTGACTGGCATTCCTGCCTACTACCTCTTTATTGTATGGGACAATAAGCCAAAGTGGTTCAGAAAGCTTCTAGGTAAGTCCTGGTGTGGGACTTCTCTCCTTCATGCTGACTCCAGGCTTTCCTCAGAGCTCTCCCTGTGTTGTGAAATCCTTCAGATCAATGCTCTCAGCTGCTGTGAGCTGGGGGTGACTGCACGAGTTGCTTTTTGGGCACGTGCTCTAGCATTGCTCAGCCGGTGGCAATCAATGTCCCCTAACTAATGAGGTACATTCACAGCAAGGCTGTTCTTCAGCCAGGGATTGATTTTAAATGACTGATGCTTCTTCCCCTGCCTCCCCTACAAACATCTAATTCCTTTTAAATCACCATCATCTTCTCCTGACCCCGTCTCTGTGCTACCAAAGACAGTACCGCACTCCTTGGAGAATCTGTTTGGAATCTTGAGCAAAACAACTGTGATGACAAGATGAGCTTGGTGTTCCCTGCTGAGACCATGTGTCTGTGTTTGGAATGGGACTGGAAGTGTCTGGAAGGTTCAGGCAGGTTGGGCATGTCCTTAGCAGTGGCTCCTGAACAAGGTGATGGCAACATATACCATGGCTGACATGCCTCTATGGAAATTATTTCTGTGCTTCATCAACAGTGACTTCTGTGTGACTTGGCTAGTAGTATTTCATGCCTGAAATACACTGAGAATCCTTCCTGTACCATTTCTGAAAGGTTTCAAAAGGATTTGTGGAAGTTCTGATGTGTTAGAGAAAGATTATTTGGAACATTTAAATTAGAAGTCAGTATAATTTATTCTAGCTCTTCATTCTCTCTCTTTTTTTATTTTTTTTTTTTCCTCAGGATGATGATAGCTTCCAGAATAAAGGGAATTTTCAAAATATGAAATAATACTATTGGCAAAATATTTCAGGAATAAGGGATTATTTATCAAAAACAACCAAACAAAAAAATTTTTTTGCTGCATAACTAAAACTCAACCTGTGAAAACTTTAACTAAAAATAGCTGATTTCTATAGATGCTGAATCAAAAGTGCATATTGTCTTCTGTGCTTCAGTCTTAATTGATGATTTAAAATGAGCTGCTCGCAAGAAAAGAATAATGCTTTTATATGTAATTACCAGTACAACCAGTTGTATGCATTTGCTTGATACAAATATGTTGTAGAGTTATATCTTATCTGCTTTAGAATATATTAATTTCCTTCTCAATACATGCTGGGAAGTCCATAGGCAATAGGGCAGGAAGTATTTACAGAAAAAGGTGTTAATTTAGGCTAGCAAAATCTTAATTTTGTAGCCAACAAGTTATAAATTACTTGCAGTGTCCTGGGAATGGGTAGAAATCTTCAGTATAAATTAAAGTAGTTGAATGCAGAAGGACATTCTATTAAGTAGTTGGGGTTTAGTCTATTTATAATTTCTCAGTCTTGACATTTAGGGTGTAGGAATTTTTCCCTTATCAAATCCAGGAGCTTTTTGGCATTTTCTGTCATGTCTCAGAGGTTTTGGAATACATCTACTTGAATCTTTGGCCACGGGATGCCAGTGTTGAACTACAATACTTAGGCAAGATAAAGAATATTCTCTTTAAGCTAGACTGGATAGATGTGAAGATTCTTCTGCCAGCTGTGACAATGAAGGTGAATAATTTCTAGCTTTTAAGATAACACAAAATTCTCCTCCTCGAAGGAAGCCTTTGTGCCTGTGTCATATCCATGGATGGGCATGGTGTACTGGCTCAAAGGGGAAGGCAGCAGAAGCCAGTCAGTGAGGGAAACAGTTTGTTTGCTTTGCAATTATTATCCCCAAAATGACAACAATAATGAGAGAAAACTGATGCTGACAGTTTTGAGATGGAGCAGAGTGGAGATTTACTTGTGAAATAAACAGATTTTTCTTTTCACTAAGAAGCAGCAATAAACCTTCTGTGTGGAGTCATTAAGCTGGCATTATTTTGGGAGACCCATTGTATAGCCTGAGAACATTTGCAAAAGGTATTGAGTGAGGATAAATTCACTTAAGGTACCTCTGTGAGATACAGAAAAGAAATTGGGCAGCTGCAAGGTTGATATTCTAACCTTGAAACAATATGTCTCATATAGGCATGGAAGTGTAATTCCAGACACCAGGTGAAGGACAGTATAACAAAATGGGATTGTCATTTAAAAGATAGATTTTTTGCTAAAGCAAACTGGGTAGCTTTCTGTGAGAAGGTAAATGATTTTTTTTTTTTTTTAAAGGAGACTGTGAAGAATTCAATCTACTTAGACTTAACCAAAGCATTTCATGTGGTACCAGGGGGGAAGTAGGAGCCTGCCAGTCTGAACACACTGCTGTGCTATCAATACTCTCTTATTTAAGAAAGTTTGGTATTAATTACCAATACTTGTCCCCAAGTTGCTTCAGGTGCCCAGATCAGAGCATGGGCAGCTGGTGTGGGGTTTGACAAGTCCCCTTCTTGAGGCATTGACTGGTTCAGCTGCCCAGCTGTGCTTCAGCCATGAGAGATGGCTCATAAACCCCATAAGGTGCAAACCCCCATGGGCACAGACCAGCCCCACATAAGGTCAGAGAGAATATCCTGAACAGGCTTTGTAAGGATCAGAGGAAAGGGTTATTGAGCAGCCAGAATGGGATAAAAGAGCCTGAAGATACATGTATTTCTGAAAGGAGTTTCAGGCTGATTACATTTGCAGAGCCCTGGAATGGATTACCCAAGGAATCCACTGCCAAGGCTGAAAATCTTTGTTCTGTACTTATGGCATTTACACAGTCCATCCTCCTTACAAAATTGCTGCATTGAACAAAAGGTAACTTTACAGCTTGTAGGGTTTGTAGATTCTGGGATAGTATTTTGCAATGAGAATAACATTTTTTTCCTCTCCTCTTCCAAAGGAATTTTGCTGTAGCCCTAGAAGTGCTGGGACAAACACTTTTCAGCTGGTACAGGCTTCATTTGACCTCTGCATTTTTGCTTTTTGTAAAACTAATGTGAAAATGAGAAAAAGTTGAGCCTAGCAGATCAGTGTGTAAAAGGATGCACCACCAGCACTTCCTCATTTGAAATCCCAACCTTACACTCACAATTAAAACATCTATTTCTGTAGAGGGTTGAATTGTGAGGAGGTAAAAAGTTGAATCCTACTTTTTTTCGAAGCTGAGCCCCTTGCTGGAAATGACATCTCTTTATATGACAAAATATCTCTGCCAGGTTCATTTAGCAGCATCAGAGGATGATACTTGCTCACTTAGGGCAAAGTGTTATATGCTCAATTTTCTTCACTTTGTTGAGTTTGTCGTGGGATCCATGGCAGATTATCTCAGCATTTTGTTGTTACAGATTTCTTGTCCACTCATATATATGCTATAAAAATCCTGTTTTCTTTCCTCACTTAAACTTTATGTGGTTCTTCTGTGGATACAAGGTCTGGGTTTTTTTATAAAGGTTATCCCCTGGGATCCATTTGCAGTGAATTTTCCTCTCAGAAAAGTAAAATTAGGTTTTAAAGTGGGCTAGGGAAGTTATCTGCACGGTCTTGTGATGAATATGAAACTGGTCCTGTAACTCTGGGTACTGCTCCAAGCAGACAACACAGAGGTACTGACTGGAAACAGATGGGAACATTTTCATAGGGGAAAATGCTCCTTATACTGATTTATTCTGAGTACATTGCAACCAAAAAATGCAAAGAATTCCAGCTCCCCCAGCTCCTCTGCTCTGCTGTGGCTTCATCCCAGGAGAGAGAAAAACTGCTGCATGGAAATGGAGGACTAGGCAAGGTCTTGCTGCTGCTGGGTCTGTCCACTTAGGTGAACAAAATTATGGCAGCTCTAGAGATGCCCAGGATTTCCCTCTGATGCCATGCCCTTTTCCAAGAGATGTCATGTCACTGCTCAGCTTCATCAAATTCTCTTTTTCCTTTTGCTTGTCCTCAAATCTGGAAGGGCTGGGATGGCAGGGGTGAAACCCTGCTGTTTTCCTGCTGCTGGCTTTCTTCCCATCCTTCATCCCTGCTATGCTCAGCCCAGCTCTGCTGTCCCCACTACGGGTAGGGAAGGCAGATGGGAGGAAAATGCAATGCCTGGAGACTCAGCCTCTCTGCCCCTGTCAGTTTATAGTCTAAGGGCAACATGGCTTTGCACTGAGCTGGTGACATGCAGAGAAAAGAGGAAAGGATGGAAGAATCTGCCTTAGACAGGAGGTCAGAGAAGTGGTTTCAGTTCATATCTTCTGTGAGTTGCACTGTTTTACCCTCCTGGCTTTGCACTGTGTCAATGTCAACGTTCGTGCCAGACGTTCAAGGAAAATCAGAACTTTCCTTTACAATTTCTGCTTATTTAAAATAGGATACTAAGGAAAAGAGATAAGTGAAAGAAATTGTAAGAAAATGTTTTTATTATTCTTTCTATTCTGTATGTGCTATATGTGAATTAACTACCATTTACACATCAGTATCCTAAAAAAAGAAAACCACAAAAATCACCAAAAGGAAATAAATGTGCCGAGTGACAAAAAAGAAAACACGAAGTTACTTTGGATGGGTAACTTTTTTTTTTTTTGTTTCAACGTAAATAAAAGCTAAGAAGTATGGTATATACATAGCCTTGGATCACAGCCACAGAAAACAGTTAAAAAGAAGAAAAATTTGAGTTTAAATGATATATATATATGATATATATAACCTGTTTGAAGTCTATGTGCAAGTAGCCTGTGTAGAAGCTAAGATAATTTTCTTGACTGCTTCTCCTTCTCCATCTCTCCTGCAGAATCTGACCATGTGTATGCTTTTATCTTTGCAGGCAAGGTAACCATAACATTGCAAATCCTCTTGGAAGTCATCCCAGCAGAGGAAGATCAGAAATCATGATCATCATGTACAGCTTTTGGCTTGGTGTTTGATTTCTACCTGAAACAAAACTAGTAGGGAGATTTATCCCCCTTCCTAACATGCTGCAAACTGGAGGAACAAGTCACAGTCACGATGGATACTGAACAAGTCATTTACCAGAATCTTCTTTTATGATACTGTTGCAAAATTTTTTTTTGTCTACATGTAGAAAGCAAGTACTTGTGCTACGAGGGAACTCTTTACTGTTTCTTTTGGTACAGTGTCTTATTTTAACAAACTGTAAGTTCATCAAACTGCAGTTTTGTTTGCCTTGTCCCTGAAGATAGGTTCAAGTGATGTGTAATGGCTGGGTGTACCATGAAGAATGTATCTTGCTTTCTGTCCCTGGAGATCTCAACTCTCACCAGAGCAAGGGTGAGATAAAGCTGCTGAATTTCACATACTGCATTCTTCCCATCACTCTGTTTGGCAGCTCGATTTGACTTTTGACTCGCCGGCGGCCCCAGCACACAGATGCAGAAGCACCACTCCCTAGCCCTTTGGGATGGCAAACTCATGGTTTCTTCATTCCAGAGTTCTTATACCATCCCAACGGAAACATCTTTTGGGATTAATATTTCTGCCAGTGGGGCAGAAAGATTTTAGCACAGGAATTGTAGCAGTAATTTTATACATGCTAAATTTTTTCCAGGCTGGAATTGATCACTGGTTTTACCAGTGCTTGTGTATCTACACACACAAAATCCAGCAAGTTGAGCAATGACCTTCAAAAGAATCAAAATATTTTGAAGGTCACCTCCACTGCTGTATGAATATTTCCTATCTGGAAGCATATGGTCCTGCAGTTATCAGTCAGGCAAAGCTGATTTTAAAGTTTTATATCAGTGTTGGTGGGCAGAAATAGATGTCAGTTGGTGGGAACATGGTAAAGACATGACAATAAATGCAATACTTTTTTATGAATAATGTATAAGGCAGGCTACAGCAGATTTGCTGATTTGAGTAGGATATGTGCCTGATCTCTGGGCTTTTCACTCAAGCACACTCCATTTAACAGAGCTTTGGAATACTGAGGAACATGTGCTTTTCCTGTCTTCTCATGGGTTTTATCTCAGCAGAAACAGAGAAAGGCGTTCAAAACTGATAAAATAAAATGAAATTCATCTCCAGAACTATTTTTAGCTGAGCTCTGTCTCAAATATGAGCTGAAATTTTGCCCTTTTTAAAAGATAATTGTATAGCTAAAGAAGTTTTTTAATACTTAGAAATTGAGTTTTATATTCTTAATGACTACCCAACCTTAAGGTTAAGGTTTATTATCACTCCGTTAAGAATATAACACTTAACTATTGAATGCACTACTATTTGAGCTGTCTGCTTTCAGCAAGTCATGTTTCATGAGAATTCTTGTGGAACTAAGCAACATTTAACTTCCTGAACTGGGAGAAAAGCACAACTAGTAGCCAGACCACTACAGTAAAGGGAGACTGTGTATTGTGTGTGTGTTGTATATATCCAGAATACCTACTGCTTTAAAGGTGTACAGTAATGTATCTTAAATGTATACATTTTTTTTGATTTTGTATCTCTGTGGTGGAATTTCACAAAAGTAGGGAAATGCAAGTAACTGCTTATATGGAGAAGAGCATTAATTTAAGACACAGAAAGCATTTTGCAAACAGTGTTTTTCTTTAAATATTTTCTGTTTACAGTAATTTAGTGTTATTAGAAATTTATTTTAGGCAAACATTTGGAGAGAGTTTTTTGTGTTCAGTGGATGTGTTTGTTTAGTACTTACATTTGGGTCACAGTTCTGCTTTTGAGGCCATCCCCGTTCATCAGGGTTTGGCCTCTGTTGTCATGGAGCATCTTCAAAGTGCACAAACACTACTTCTCTCTGACAGAAATAAACTGTCTGGCACCCTGCAGGAGTGCACCCAACCCATTCCTCCCCTAATGAATGCAAAGTGCACGGGATCCAGAGCAAAACCACTTCCAGAGCGACCATGGACGTGACTTTTTCACTCTGTTTCATTCCCATGTATTCACTCCTGTTGTGCCACAATACTTGAAAGTTGAATTGTAGGCAGTGTTAACTTGTAGAAATAAAGAGGCTCCATAAATATAAAAATAAATGTTGTTTTATTTCCTCATTGTGGTCTTTAATATTTAGAAATGTTTCTGAAGCCTGATTCAGTGAACAAATTTTTATTAGGTTTGGTTCATGTAAAGGGTTAATTTCTCTCAACGGAAATCCTAGGACTTGTTGATTATGAAGTTTTATATTTTAGGAAGGAAAACACATGCAAAATAAAAGTCTGGATTTTTTGAAGGTGCACAGGGATTTTAATTTCAGGTTTAGTTTCTTTAGTACATGCAAGTACAGTACAAAATAATGTAATTGGGTTTCCACTGTATTATGGAAGTCAGTATTAAGAATTTTTATTACACTTGAAAGTGAGGCATATCTTCAGAAACTGAGGAAAAACATTTTTTCTTTAAGCATCAAGTTCTCTTATAAGATTGAAAAGAAATACTTAACAGAGTCATAGAGGAAATTTTTCTAGAATAAAGAATAGACTTTAGATATACCTTTTCTTATTAGGGCCTGAGGTGGTCAGGCCAATGAGATTATTTCTGTGGTTCTTCTTTTTCTTGCCTTTTGCACTTTTATATCAACTGGATGTGCCAAAAGATCTTTCTTTTTGTTTAGGTGGTTGTTGCTAGTTTTTTACTTCTTTGAATTTGTTGCTTTTCTGGGGTACAGGTAAAAGTGTCACTGAAGGTAAGAGAAATGAACATCTTATGTGAGTAGCAAATACTGCTCAGGTTTAGTGTAACACAGAGAAACTGTTCAGCGCCTGAAGCCTCTGAAAGGGCTGATGTGCCTTTGCATCTCCTAATCTGGAGCATCACAATTCCCCCATAAGAATTATTTCTTTTCAATTCAAATTGCAACAGAAGCGTCTTTTGACCACACTACATCTTCTGCATTTTTCAATCTGAATGACAAACAAACAAAAAAACTTTGCTTGCCAAAGGTTCACGTGCCTTTCACTATATACATATAAATATAACTCCTTGGCTGAAAAATCATGCTCCTGCTTTTATTTTCACAGGAAAAGCAGGCTTCAATTTACGAATAGTTGTCAAATATTTTTCTACAGAAGGAAGTAGTAGTTAGCTATATCTACAAGGTGCATAATTGTGTTGATGTAACAAGATAAAGAGGATTTCCCATTATGTTCAGTGCCTCCAGCATTTCTAACTTAAGAATTAGCCATATATCAGGATCCAAACAGATTTTAATTAGCCTGTCTTTGAGAAACGTGTGTTGATCTTTCTTAGGAGGAATTAGTTATTTCATTTTACAATGTATCTATCAAATACTATGTTTAATGACCAAGCAGACCAAGGTTTGGACAGCAGAGCATGGAGCAGCTAATTAATATACTGAAATCCAGTACAAAAATTGTATTTATATCTGGGAAGGATGCAAAGTACAAAGTTTGGCATTTGAACCCAGGCAGGATTGGTCAGGGGGAAGAGCACGACAATGTGTGATGACCCCTAATGGTCATAGGGCAGCTGCCTAAGGCTGGAGACCCTCCTGCAGGAAAACCATCCTAAAAATGTATATTTGTGCCCATGTATATACAGGTTGTGTCCTCCCTAAGGTGCTGTTTAGTCCCTTTTAGCCTGGCTCTATCCCTGGCAGGACAAGTCTCAGGGAAGGCTGGTACTGTCAGAGTGAGATGGCAGATTGAGATATCCCTGTGCCTTTTCTGTAGAAGACATCACTTCTTTTGAAGTGAATTTTCTTTTGCCCCTGGAACATCCCCTGCATTCTTTGAACCATTCCTCTCTGGTGGTGTCTGGAGTAACTGAGGAAAGCCTCTTTAAACACCTCTGGGGATTTGTTGGGGCTTGGCAAACTGATGGAGTTTTTCAGTTTGCTTCAGAAGCCTGTAGAATTTTCTTGCATGCTAGTCCATGCTAAATTTGTTTTCTATTGTATTTTTGCCAAGGTACTCTTGGAGAACATGTCAACAATTGACACCATTTCTATTTACATTTGCTTTCTTGTTTCTTTTTTTGTTCAAAGAAACTTTTGAAATAATTTTTCCTTGAAGTACAAAGATGTAAATGGATAAAAAACACCTGTTCCAACAAAGGATTAACTTTATCAAGCAAGAGTATGGATCCTCTTCGTATTTCCTGTAACCCGAATGTCTATAGTGTTGTGATGTATATCAAAGCTTTGAGATTTTCTAAATATGATATTGGTGATGATCCAACATGGTTATAAAAATGCTGTGGCTACAGTCAGTTTTATGCTCCTGTAGCTCAGCCTCTGCTCCCAACTCAAGTTACAGAATGTTCCCACTGGTAAACTTTTCTACAGGCCTTTTTCAGATCCAGGAATTCACCTATCTCTCCTTTGAAAGGGTAATGCCATCCTTTCCTTTGTGGTTCACCTCAGCTCCCTGAGCTGGATGTTAGCAGGTGACCTTAGCTCTAGACAGGCCCTTAGCTGAGCCCAGGGATTCTTCTGTTCCAGGGAAGTTGGAACCCTGGGTTTTAAAAAGTAGCTGGCTTTTGCAATTATCTCTCTCATTTGTACTTAAAATGTTTTATAAAACTGTTAGATAGGAATTTTTGGTGCTGGTTTTTTTTGATGTGGTTTTGTGTGTGTCTGTGTGTTTGTGAATTTTATTTTTTCCCCCTTCCTGTTAGTTATGAGAAGTTAAATGTTATGGGATCTTCTAATTTTACCCTGTGCCTTTGGCTGTGCCTGAAGAAAGCCATTTGATGCAGTTTCAGCTGCCAATATCTCTTTGCCACTCAGTCATTACAGTGTAATTGGATCTAAAGTACGTGGATAATTTGCTGCTAGCAATTCTGGCTTATCTTAATTATGATTTCCAGCTGATTTCTAACAATACTCATCAATGAATATGCATGGCATAGCAGTCAGACTGGTGCAGGTGAAAGAAAAACTCTGTTTGAGAACTTGAGCTTTGCTGCTACCTACATACCAAGCTGTTTAAAAGCATCAAGGCAGGATCTCTGCCTTAAACTGGATGGAGGCTTTCAGAAGGGCTAATGACACAGCCCAATGAGTGCAAATGTTTTGGATTCTGTATACGTGTGCATTCTTCCACATTTGGCAAAATTTCTGGGAGAAAATGAGGAAAATCTGAGAGGTATAAACGTGACCTCCTAGGCAGACGATTTCCCCAGTACTTTCTTCTGCATTCACCCTGACTGAAGGCTACAAATATATTTTCACTGAGAGCATTTCTATTCAGTGTTTCTTCTGCAAGCCAGCTCTTTGAAACATCTGTATTTAATTTTAAACTGGGTGCTATTCTTACCCATCTGCTTGTGATTTTTTTTAAACCTCCTATTTTTCCTCACCTGAAAACTGTCATGTCATAGAAAACTGGTTTTACAGGTTGCAACAGTACTTTTAAAAAGTAACACAGTCATAAATTAGGGTCACATAAAGATCTAAAGCAGTTCCAAGCAGCTCCCTCCTCCCAGGCTCATACAGTATTGTTTGCAGATTGCAGCTGGAGGATCTTAAAGTTTATCACAGCAAATACTCAGCTCCCCTCAGGCATCAAGGATGTGGTGTTTTATTAGAATCCTTGCACTTGCACTTCAACACCTGATTAGAGGTTCTGACTTGGCCAAGTTGGTGTTGGAAAATTTGGGCACGTAATAAACCTCACGTGAGGTTATGAAAACTCTGTGGGATAGTGAGAAATTTGGACAAGCTGAAAGACTATGTGCACAGCAGTGAATTTTATTATTAGCCATCTATGTATAACTAATTACTTGCATATTTTCAATTACCAATAACTTAACTGAAAAATAGCTGTTATACTGTTTTAGAGAGGTGTTTCTTTTGTTTGTTTGTTTTAGTTTTTCTTTCCTTTGTTTTTGAGCATTATATTCAGGACAGCTCTCTCAGGTGTTCTGCTTGAAAGCTGGGGCAGACAAAGAAGCTTTTAAGGGAATTCTCACTGTATTTTCTCTACGTGCCCTGCACAGTGCAAGTCAATATTCATAAATTACTTTTAGCTGCTGTTAGTATTTCCCATCTCTGTTTGCTAATTCATATACCAGATATATTTAAAATAAACCACTAAACATCAGGGGATTTGATGCTTGTTCCACATGCAACAGCTCACTATTGAACAAAATTCCAGTGCTTTGTACTAATGCTAAGCCCTACCTTTGATTTTGTAATAAGTACAGGAGTCAGAGGCAGAATAAATCAGACCCTATACTGTCAGGTTGGCAGAGATGACTGATCATAGCTTTCTGGCAGCCCTGCATTTGACTGCAAGTCTCATGCAGCCCTACTTTAGATCATCTAGAGGCATCTGGATGATGAAAAGCAGGCTGGCTTAGAGGACAGAATACAGTGCTGCACCGCTGTCATGTTTATTTAGTGGCATGTGTCTGCTAAAATGCTTCAGGTTGTAGCTCATGGTAATAATTCTCTCTTGTGTTGAATCCATCTTGGCCCATTTTTATTCCTTTACCCATATTTTAAACAAAAATTGTTTTCAAAAACCTTTCCAAAATGGAAACA